CCCTCCGGCTGCCCTCGCCTTCTGAAGAAGCGTCGGTGCCGGCTCCTGGGGTTGCCTGACTAATCGCCGACTCCGGCGGCGCCGGCGGCGGTTAGTGCGACCGAGCACTGAGCTGCCTTTGTGGGAACAAGTGAGTAAGTTCGTTTTCCGGTTCTGTAGAAGCAGGTTGCTGGTGTGTGCGTTCGTGCTGGCTTGGTTAGCGGATTAGTGGCAAACCGAATCGCCAGTGATTGATTTTTTTTTTTTTTAAATTATTAAATGTATTTATAAATGCGCTTCAAATATAGTGGTTTTAAGTTTGATTCATTAAAATCTCGAAGAGTGATATTTAGGGTGATTTGCTGTGAAACTTTTACAGAGCTTATTTTCAGGCTTCCCTGTTGACTTTGCTGGCAAACCCTTACTGGGTGTTAAAGTGACATGCTATGTGTAAAAGGAGTTGGAATATAATCAAAGATCTTTTTCTTAAAGCGTTTTGTATTAAATACATCTTTTGCAAGTACGTATGTACTTACATACTGTGTAAAATTATGCTTTATTTTGCATGGTCTTGAGGATGATCATAAGTGAAGCGCACCGTTAAGGGCATTAAGTGCTGCTACATGGGTTATGACTACTTGTAGGGATAAGCAACGTATCTGCACTGTAGATTTACACCTTTTCTGAACCCTAATAAATGTCTAGCAAATGCATTTTATCCTGAGCTGCGTTGGGATGTTAAAATCCAAGATGGGAGCAATGCATTTTTTCCTTGTAGAGGGAAAAGATGAGAGAGAGGTTTCTTTGTTTACTATATCTTAGGAGATGTCTTCTACTGACCTCAACATCCTTTTGTCAGTTTCTTTTGAATGGAGCAGTTTCAACAAGTGAAATGTTGTGGAAGTAAGTGGTATTTTATTGTGCTGGCCTGAAATAGGGAAATTACCTGGCAAATGTCAGACTAGTTCATCATCTGAGAATGACTTTCAGCTAATGAAGTTAATCTTTTTTGTCCTGCTCCTGTACTTTTGAATGAAATAGATGTGTTTGCTTATAAAATGTAAACGAATTTCAGAATCTAGAATACTAGCTCTGATAGTGTCACCCATCTTGTTTTCTGTAGGTTTTTTTTTCTGTGCGATCAAGATAAAAATATTCAAAGTTAGTTAGGAGATTCAACCTGTTTGGAAGACTTGCAGGCCCTGTCTTAATAGCCTTTCTGAAGTTGTTCTTCCCTAGAAAAAGAAGTCACTGGACTTGCAAAAGAGTTTTTCCTCATCCAGTTTTCTTATATACAATTAACAGTACTGAATTTACTGCCTGTGGTATTTTCTCCACTCTTTAATAGTCTCATAACTAGATTAAATAAATTTTTAAAGCTGATGTGGTGTATCAAAACTTAAGCGTCCCAACTGCATCCGCAAAGTGTGTCCTATGAAAATAGGGTTGTTTATGCTTCAGTAGTGGCTATGCTAACTTGTTCTGTGATTAGAAGTTTCAAAGTTGTAACATGTATTTAAGACCTTTGTCTTAAAACTGTGTTTTAATAAAGTATTAGGAAGTGTCCTGGTGCTTAAGATTGATTTAGTTTAGTTATGACTTTGAGGCAACAGTAGATCAAATGTGAGGAATAGGGAAGTGGCAGTGGTTACTTTTCTCCAGTATCCTGTAATTACAAAAACCAACTTTCTAAAGAACAGGGTACTGATCAGCTGTATTAACTATCTCTGTCTAACTTTTCCTAATAAGTCATACGAGCTAAACATTTTTCTTAAGTCTGTTGTAAACAAAACATACACTTCTTGTTCTTTAGGTTTTTCTTTTAGCTGATGGTTTTGGAATGGCATACGCAAAAGTAATAACACAATTAAAGGCGCACACAAACCCCAGGAAGAATAACGTTGGAGTTTAGGATGCTGCTTCTTCACAGTTTAAGCTCAATGATTCAACTGGAAACTAACTGCAAGAGTTTTCAGTCAATCCTACGTACCCCACCCACAGTTGTATGAGCGAAAGAGCTGACGCAGTGCTGAGAGGAAGAGTGGGACAATGCTTTTCAGCAGTGGACTGTGGTTAGATGATCGTGAACTGATCGTGATACCCGGGGGGTTATTTAGCAATGAAAATGGGATAGTATATTTCCAGGGAGCAACTCAAGTACCCTGGAAGAGTAAGCAGTAAGAACTATATAGCATGTTTGCTTTGCTTCTGGGCCTTTAACATTCTTTAAAAGTATTTTGAGACTTCTAGATAATTGTTTTACCTGATCTATTAAAAGTAAAAAAGTAACTTTCATCTAGTTGTTGTATACTTTCTGACAGACCTTAATTTGAGTTTTGTTTTTTTTTTGCTGTGCAAACATTTTAATGCTGCTGCTGGGCTTGTTTTCCTGAGCATAGTTCTGAGTCGCCTCCTAGACATTGTCACGGGAGTTCTAGGAGTTTGTGGGCCACAGCTAAAATAGTTCAGTAGAGAAAAATATGTGTAAGCTAAATAGCTGCATAAATAAAAGCAGACTAGTAAGAAAGCGGTTAAAAGCTAGGCTGATGATCACAGATAAAGACAGTGACTAGAACATCTGTCCCTCCCTGTGACCTTAGGTAAGCCACTTATAATTTAATGTCTCCTCTTCGGCAGAGGGAGGATGTATAAGAGGAGACATTACACACTGGTCTGTGCTATAAAATTAGTTTGGATTTTGGTTGCTTAGAGAGCTTCCTGAAAGCAGTACTTTCAGGAAGGTTCTGAAACTCTTACTAGTAAAGTACTCAGCTGTGTTCGAGATATATAGATGAATTTATTTTGATCAGATTTAGCTCACATGTTACATCTAGTGCTCGATTGCTGATATGTTCATTACGTTTAATGAGTAGGAGGATTCTTTCTGAGAAAAGGTGCAGAGAATATTTGTAAATATTGAATGTTCAACACTTTCAGAATATTACAAGTGTGTTTACCAGTGCATTCTCCTAGGATGTTTATTGAAAGCATTGTCCTTCATCTGTTGCATAGAGCATTTTTGTCTGAACACATTTCACTGTAGTTGCCCCTCATCCGCTCTTCTTCTCTCTCTTGTTTATTCCTTTGTCTGGCGTTTTTGAGTATAGCTACATGTAACAGCTCAGCATACATTTCAGGAAGGCCTTTTAATACAAGATAGATAATACCCACATTTGGCTGCTCAAAGAGGGATATTTTACACAAAATAGGTGTACCCTGTAGGTATGGAAAGATGACTTTTTTTTTTTTGCTATTTGTGCGTCTAGTATCTTATTGCTGCCTTGTGCAGTGGAGTTAGGAATGGGAGGAGACCTATTAAAGTCAGTATGTTTAATCAGTTAACGGTAGGTCATAGAAGTCAATGACAGACACACAGGTAAGATTTGCATACTTCAATTAAGTTTATTACTTAATCTGACTTAATACAGAATATCACTAATGTAATTACAACAGTGTTTTCCTGTGCTTTATGATCTTCCCTGTAAGCTTCCTAGCCTGTTGAACTTTTAATGTACCAAGACTTTTTTAATAACTGTTTTAATTAAATAAAACCTGTTGGTAATTTAATGACATTTTCCTAGAAAAGATTTTTTTTTTTCCAGATTACATGGGTGTAATTGCCTGTGTGGGAATTTATACTCTTCATCAGCCACGTGTTTAAATTACGTTATTTTTGATGGAGACAGGATGTGGACTATAACTATGGAGGATAATGTCCTCTTCAGTAGTGCAAAAATACAGACATGTTTTATGACAAGCAGGGTCTAAATTCCAGTTTAGAGTGTGTGGTTTGTCACACTTCCTTGTCTCTGTGTTTATTAATTGAGTAATTCTTGAGGTGCCATGCTCTCTTTATTCAGTAAACCATGTACAATAACAGAAAGTTGATGGAACAGTTTCAAACAGAAGCATAGTTAATGGTGATGCTTGGGTGGTAGTTAGCCTATGGAGGTCATGGAGAACAAGTGTGCTGTCTTTTAAGGGATGCATTAAACATACCTGTGAAACAACAGTCTTAGAAATTACATTGCAGGCTGTTGGGAAGGTTGTTCTTTCTACTACCAGGTATTTCTTCCCCTGCCCTATTCCTGGCTGTAGAGTTTTGTATCTCCACTCTTGCTCTGCATTGGTCTCTTGTGTCCTCCACTGAGTTGATTCAGCTTCTGTTCAGTAGCAAGTTACTGTTGAGTGTGTGAACTTCCTACTAGATTAGCGAGTCTAGCGGCTTTACAGAGGTGTTTGAGTGCTAGCCTAAAGTAAGCAAGGAGAAGCAAGTACCTGGGGCCAGATGCAGCAGGAGGAGAGCCATCATGCTGACCCATTATATTGTCTAATTGCATTTTTCAAAACAAAATTTCAGACATAGATTGTCTGTATTGTAGCCTTAAAACTGGTATTTTTGGTTCAGTTTGTCTTTAGGCTTAAGGTGCTAATTACCTAGTAAATGTTCATCTGTTACGTTCTGAAGGCTGCATGGGTTGTATTTTTGTAGAAAAATACTGATGTGCTTCAGAAGTACAGGCTCCATGGCAGATTAATTTTGTGATGCTGGAACTTGTGATTTAGTCCAGGGTAGGACACATCTTTGCAGCCTAGACGAGAGGACTATTTAAAAATTCTATTGTTATGTGTACCTTTCTGTATTTAATGCACCAAACATTTTCCATTTTAGATCTTTATATTTGGACTTATACAAAGCAGCTTGCACTTCTGTATGTAAAGACATGAAAGACTTTCCATGTTTCAGTAGCTTTTTGATGTAATTATATAAAGGAATCTTATAAAGGTATTCACTATTGCTTTAGTAGAGTTCCACTAGCTTAAAATGAAGTCCATAATTAATTTCAGATGATATTGATATTGTTGATGTCAGTTTAAATGAATGGAATGTCCATATAAGTACAGATCTCTTAAATTCTGCAGTAATCTTGGGAAGATGAATTAATGTAGAGATTGCAGCTGGGGACACGATTGCTCTAAGGGTCATGGGAGACATGTTTCACTCTAACCTCGACCACTAGTATTTTCTTATTTGTGCCTTGCAAACACTGGCTTCTGAAAACAAAGAAATAGGGTATAAAATGTTCTTCCTTTCTCTCTCTGTGGAGGATTGTCTCAAACAATTGCTAATCATTCATTTCTTGCAGTATT